TCTCCCTCTCCCCCTGCCCCTCCCCACCATGCACACACACTCTCTCTCTCTCTCTCAAATAAATAAATAAATAAATCTTTAAAAAACAAAACAAAACAACAACCACCACAGACTCTTGGGTCCTACTCCAGACCTTTCAGATCCTTGTAGGGGGGTGGGGGGGGTTGGACAGGAACCAGAATTTCAGCAGGTACCCCAGGTGATCCAGGAACCACTGCTCTGGGGCATTCTTGATGTTAAAAATAAAACTCACACTTTTCTATGTCACCTTTGATTCCCAATCTGTGTCCTTGGTATAATGTTGTCTTACTCCAGAGCACATACCCAGCTGCCTCCTGGACGCCGCAAAACCTTAATTCATCTCTTCCCATCCTACCGCACTAACCCTTCACCTGTTTTTCAGTCTTGGTTAATGGCATTATTACTTACCCTTCGTCCAGATCTGATGCCTGGGAGTCCTTGACTTTCTCCTCCTTCATCCCCTTATAAAATTGATCACCATGTCCTGCTAATTCAATATTCGTATTTTCCCCCACATCTGTCCTCTCCTCTTCATGACCTGAATCTCAGTCTACAGCAAGCCCTCACCGTCTCTGTGCCTGGATACCTCCTGCCACAGTCTTTGAAGATGCTCCCAGCCTGCCTGTCTTCACCAGGATTCGTTTCCTTGCTCTAAGGGTTTTTCCAACAAGCAAGTCTGACTATGCCATTCCCTTGCCTCAAACTTTTAGTGACACCTTGGCCTTCAGTGTAAACTCCTGAGGCCCCTCATGACCTGGTGCTTCTTGCTCTAGTGGAAATCCCCTGCTCTTCTGCTAGGACCTCACCTGTTAGCGGTTCCAGCACCTTGCATTCTGTAGCTCTCTACTCTCTTTTCCACCTTGGAAGTCTTCCCTCCATCTGGTTAAGTGTAAACTCCTCCACAGAGCTTTCCAGATGCCAGCCATTCCACCGAAGTGAAGTTATGCGCTCCCTGGTTGAGTATGAGTTCTTTCAGGGACTATATTCAGTTGACTCCAGGGTCCCAGCTTGAGGAAATCATGAATCTAGACTATGCTGACCCCAATTTCTTTATTTGCTCATTCGTTCACGTGTTTATTCAACACACATTGATTAAGCACTGGCCACATGCCTACCACCGTATTAGACACTAAATAGAGGAGAAATTGGGGGCTCGGGATTGTTCATTGACTTGCCAGAGATTCCTTGCTGAGGACCTCAACTTATTTTAATGTCCTTAGGTCCCAGAAGGTAATTTCTGATTTTTTATTTTTTTAAGATTTTATTTATTTATTTGACAGAGGGAGAGAGAGAGCACAAGTAGGCAGACAGGCAGGCAGTGGGAGAGGGAGAAGCAGGCTCCCCGCCGAGCACAGAGCCCGATGTGGGGCTCGATCCCAGGATGCTGGGATCATGACCTGAGCCAAAGGCAGATGCTTAACCGACTGAGCCAGCCAGGCACCCCCTGATATTTTTGAAATGAAATTAGTCGTAACCACTACAAAAATGTGTGAAAGCTTTTTCTTAAAATCACTGTTTTGAATAGGGCCCATTGGTTATCTGGCATATTTTCTTGAGGAAATACAGAAGTGAAACAATTTTTAACATTTTCACGTACACAAAATTAAAATATTTTAGAAAAAGTCTTAAAGACCTTCTGATTATGCACTTTTCACATTAAATACTATGTTTATCTTTTAAAAATATATCCTGTGCTATATTTAAAATAACATAACTACCAGATTACTTTGAAGTAAAAATGGGTTATCCATGGGTTTCTCTTTGCTCATTTTATTGGCAAAACCTGGTAATGAACCAAACCCTGGAGGTAGGTGTTTTGGTCAGAGAAGCTTTATGTGGTACCCCAGTTATATTCAGTTCCCACTTTCTATATTTTCTTCCCTATTATTTTGGTTTTTGTTTTTGGACTTTCTATGATATATTTAAAAATTATATTTAATAAGTAGAGTGGAAGGGAGGAAAATGGATATGTTGACTACCAATGTTATTAAGGGTTTAAATTAACTGAGAAAGCAGTTCCTACCATAAACTTTTCTGTTGGTGATTTTCTATTTTTTGGTATGTCTCTAGAAGTCCTATTCCTATACGTGTGGAAACTACCCAACCAGCAGTGGAAAAGCCGGAAATCAAGCCTCCCCGAGTGAGGAAGTTAACAAGACAATACAGTTTGTGAGTTCTGTACTTCAAGTTTTTCGATAATACTCACAAAGTTGACGCTAAATGTTCAGTTGTAAATGCTTTTTAGCCTCTCACACCACTTCCAAAGAGCCATCCCCCAAAATACAGTTTGTTTCCAATTTAGGTCATAATGGGACTTGACTTTTCTCTCTGAAAACATTACATAGTTGGCATATGTATTGATTATTGATTGCTATGGAACAAATTACTCTAAAATTAGTGGCTTTAAACAGTCCACATTTATTACCTCACAGTTTATGTGGGTTAGAAGTCCAGGCATGGCTTAGTTGGATCTTCTGTGTCAGGGTCTCTTAGAAGGTTGCATTCAAGGTGTGGGCAAGGGCTGTGGTCTCATCCGAAGGCTCATTCTTGCAGGTTGGAACAGGATTTGGTTCTTATTGGCTGTTGTCTGGAGGTTGCCCTCAGTCCCTAGTCATGTAGACTTTTCCTCTCCGATGGAGAAATCACACAAGAAGAGCCAGAGAGAACTCTCGCAAGGCGAAAGTCACAGCCTTTTGTAACCTGATCACAAATGACATCCCATCACCTTTGCCATATTCTGTTCATTAGAAGCAAGTCAGGAGGGCCAGCCCACACTCAAGGGTCAGGGATTACACAGGGGCATGGATACCAGGATGGGGAATCATCAGGAGCTTCATATCAAAAGCTTCATCCATGGCATAATTGTGAAATGGTAGCATGATCTGTCAACAGAGCCAAAGCTAATAACTGAGCTGTGTGAGACCTATGGGAGGAGTCCTATCCCAAAGTATCCCAGAACCACCAAGGCCAATTTTGTTCAGCTTAATGAAAATTCCTTGGCTCCTGTATGCACAGAGTTGTTTTAGGCTCTTCTAGGAAGAACAAAATGACTTTGACAGTTCCCATCTGAGGAGTCACCATTTATTGGAGGGAGAGACAGATTGCAAATAATTATAATCCAAAGAAGACGGGTAACTGCTGTCATAAGAGTAGTAGTATTTTAGTAAGAGCTGTAGTGCTAATCACAATGGTAGTTCCCATTTCTTGACCTTGGCTGTGGCACTATGCCTGGGTGTATAATTGACCAGAGGGCTGTAGGGGGATATTTGAGTGCCAGGGAATGCGTGCAGCTCTGGAGTCAGAAAGGCTTCTGTCAGAGTCCTGGCTAGTTTACTGCTCTAAACTCTTGGGGAAATTACTTTTTCAGCCTCTCTTTCCTTGTCTGTAAAATGGGTGAGCTAATACCTAGCCCTGAGGAATTTGGTGACGGTTGATGTGCCATAATGCAGGTCTAGCCCATAGCAAGGGACCTGGCCAGTGGATGAACTAGCTCCCTTTCCTTTCTTCTCGAGGACCTGAAAGCCTCCGAGAAAAGGTCCAGTTTGGGGGATACCCTGAATGCAAAGTGTAGGCTGGGGAGGGTGACTTTGGATGCACTTCTCAAACAGCCAGCTCGAGCCTGCACCTGGCGAAAGTGAAGAGGCCACCACCTCCCACCTCATTAGCCTTAATAGAAATGCTGGAGGGTTGGAGCAGCTGTATTTCCTAGGAAAGCCAAAATGAGTAATTCAAATAATTAACAGTCCTAATGGTTTCTGGGGGACAAATTAAACCATGAAAAAATCTGCTCCCCTGAGGATAAAGCTGTCAGGATTATTAGACTTTCCTTTTACATTTTGAAACTCCAAATGTTATTATCACCTATTCAGGATATGTAATCATGTTGGAAACAATGACTAATACGTGGCCTGGAAGGAAAGAAAATTTAACTCACTATAGTGGCTCTTTTAAGGAAACCCTTTCCAAACCTCTAACTTCACATGTGTATTTCTTAAGCTACTCCAAAGTATTTTGCTTCAAAAATAAAAGAATAGCAGCATTTTCCCCATTAGTAATAACAGAAAAATTAATGGGTGAGATTTTCCCAGTTTTAAGTTTTTGCCCCATAAAAATAGTTCTTAAATTGTTCACACCACCACCAGTCCTCTCTTTCAGTCATAGATATTGATGAGTTAATAAACACAGTGTCAAGGAATACAGATGGAAAAAACTCAGATTTCCCTTTTAAAAAATACACACACACACACACACACACACAGTCCTTTTGGCTATTAGGGTATTCTGAGTTCCTAGGCCAGCATAATGTGGATTTGGATTTTAGGGTTCTCCACCAAGAGCATCACAATGTCCAAGTACTCCCTGAACGAGTTTTCAGATTGATGCTTTTAAGGATATACACACAAACCTCCTGGTTTGTTCTGTCCTGGAGGTAATGACTTAGGGAAGAAACATGTGGCTGCTGATGCACGCAGAGAAGAGAGAGAAGCAGAACTTGAGGTAGAGTTCGAGGCAGGAAAGAGTGTCCTCTATTGATACCAGGCAGTGTGTTTAGGAAATGATGAGCGGCTATATTTGCTTCTAGAAATGTAACTTTACTATTTATTTAAACACCATATAAAAGCCTAAAAATATTCTAAAGAGAAAAATACCTTAAGTCTGAAGAGAAAAGATAACCAATTCCCTAGAATCATGCCACCAAAAATAACCTATGTTCACATTGAATGACTATTGCTGTAGACATTTTTCACATATTATTAAAATGGAAGGAAGTCATTTCAAAGAAAAGAATCCAGCTACACATAAAATTGTACTTATTAAATGTTGTTTCATGAATTTAACATGAATTTACCTCAGAAACGGAGGTTGAATTAAAAGACGCAGTGTAGTTAAGCAGATTATCTTTGCCACAAGATCTAAGTTAGGACAAAAGGTTATAAAACCCATCAAGAATTTGGAGTCTTTTTCAATTTTAGGCAGCATCAGTTGACTTCCTGCTGTGAAAGATGAGCTATGTTTTTTTTTTAATAGCCTATAATATTAAACTGAATAACTATGCTTTTAAGGTTGTAATTTTCTCTTGTAATGAGGCAGAAAAGGGTTTTAACCCCACTCTTCCACTTAACTAGCTGTGTGACCTTGAGCAAGTCATGTCACAATCTGCCACTGAATAATGTCTACTTCTCTGAAGAATGGAGATCATAATGCAGGGTTGTTGTAAGAATTAAATGGGCTAATGCCTGTATTACTGAGCTGATTAACTTCATCAGCATGGATCCACATATGTGGTGTCTTACTAGTTTTCCCACTTACTTATTCCAACCTCACCTGTCCCCTTATTAAGTCCTACATCCTCCTCTTGAGGCTTCTGCATATACAGAAAGATCCTAAATCTCCCAGGACCCTCCTCAGTGAGTCCCATCCTCACCTCAGTTTGTGTACCATGGCCACGTTTCCCACAAGGCCCCTGTGAGGGACGCTGCTCGGCCACACTGGTGCTCACTGGCCATGGACCCTTTAGTCTCCAGCCTTGCTCAGCCATCACTTCTAAAACATAACCCCTAAGCCAGGGTAGCTCTAGGACTTCCACATGCAAGCCCCTTAGGAAAAGTGTATCAGGGTCCCTAAGACTACCCAATTCACTAGAAGGACTTGTAGAACTCAGAAAAGCTGTTATCCTCACAGTTATGGCTTATTCCGGTGGAAGGATCCAGACTAAAATCAGCAAAGGAAAAGGCACATAGAGTGGAGTTTAAGAAGACCGAGCACAAGCTTCCACTTGTCTTGTCCTAGAGGAGTCATGTGGTTAGTGTCTCCTTCTTCCAGCAACAACATGTGACAACATACGTGAAGTCGTGCCAAGCAGGGAAACTCACCCAAGCCTTGGCGCCCAGGGTTATTATTGGGGGTCAGTCACGTAGTCATGAAACAACTACCCGGTCTCCAATAACTGCCCCCCAACCCCGAGATCAAACTGATATCGTGTGGCCCTAAGCTCTAGGCATACAAGGGCTGGTCTTCACTATAAATCACATTGCTAACACAGACTATGTGGCATGGCCCAAGGTCAGGTATGCAGTGACACCCTTATCAGGCGGGATATTCCCAGGGCCCAGAGGTTCTCCCAGAAGCTCATCAATGGCCAGTGGTTCCTGTGGCATGTGCCGAGTTAGAGCTCCCCAGGCCTGCAGGGTTAGCCCTAATACTACACAGGCGGCAATCTGGTTGGCATTAGGGGATCAGGGACTTGTCTTAACTTCTGTAAGTTTGAGAAGATACTGTTCATACTAAGAATAGGTGATTGATGGCGCTGCTCTGTCCTGGGCCACTAGGACCAGATTAAAAAGGTCTTCCTGCCTTGACATACTTTGTGGGAGGTCAAACCTTCCCCGCACATCCAAGCCCCGGAAACAAACCCAGAATGCCAACCTGGACTCCTCCTCCATTGTGATGACTTCCTGTCTAGTGTACTTTTCTCCCTGCATCATCCCATTCTGCCAGAGAGGTTCCAAGACCAGAGCTACGAGGCCCCCAAACACGTGTGCCCAACTCCTCCCCTGTAACTAATCACAAAAGGCGCCATTATACTTTTCACCCAGTGCAGTTGGTTCTTAAATGGCTTGTATTTACCTTCCTAAGGGAGGCCACTCCCTTGGTTTGGTGGCTTCTCAAAGCATTAAGCATGGGAACTACCATATGACCCAGCAATCCCACTTCAAGTGGAATCCCAATCCAAAAGAATTGAAAGCAGGGTCTCAAACACATTAGTATATCAACAGGTGCATAGATAAACAAAATATAGTCTATCGTTGCAATGGAACGTTATCCAGCCCTAAAAAGAAATGAAATTTTGATATGTGCTACCACATGGACGGACCTTGGAAACATTATGGTAAGTGAAATAAACCAGATACAGAAGGACATCTATTGTATGATTCCACTTACGTGAGATACCTAGAATAGTCAAATTCATCCAGACAGAAAGCAGAACAGCTGTTACCAGGGGCTGCAGGGAGAGGGCACTGGGAGTTACTCTTCAGTGGATACAGAGTTGCTGTTAGGGGTGATGAACAAGTTTTGGGTGTAGACAGTGATGATGGGTACACGACATCATGAATGTATCAAATGTCCCTGAATTGTACACTGACCAATGGATAAAATGATAAATGTTATGTGTCTTCCGTGATACAGAAAAAAAATTTTTTTTAAATCCCTTGGCAAATGACAGAACATCCAGCCCAAACTGGCTTTGGCAAAAATGTCCCTGTATTGGATCCTGGAAGCTGGACATCTGGCAGACATCTGCCCCCACCCCCTCCCTGCCCTCCCTCCATGCCCCACAGCCTGTTTATTGTTGTAATGAGCAGAGCTTCATGTGCTTTTAGTAACCGCAGTGATGAAGACGACCTCCCTCCTGACCTGGCCGCGGCCGTGGGAGCGCCCATCGCCACAGCCGCAAACAGTACCATGGCCATCACGCAAGTCTCCGTGCCGCCGGCGTCCCCCAAGGGCCACAAACTCAGCTCGCCTCAGAACTCAGAAGGCAAGGGCCAGCTGTCCCCAGGGGCCAAGGTACGGGGGGAAGCCCCGAGGAGTAGTTGCACTGGCTAGGAATTCAGTATAAATTTAGCACGTGGCATCCCACGAGCGTTTAAACTTGGCGCAGTCAACCGTGCGCTCGTAAAGCAAGGGACACGGCCACCAGGGCAGGGTTTTTATATAACTCTCCCCAAAAGATGACCTGTTTACGAGATGCAAATGGTTTAATAAAGACCTTGTGCACTGTACTTTAAGAGAAATGGAAGAGATTTTTGAAGGCAGTTTTGGTTTTAGAATATCATCCCTATATAATCTAGAGTGCCCCGTAAATATAGAAAACAAGACATGTTTTTCCACCCATGAGGGAAAATTTGGAAGAGTGAAAACATAGACGTGTCCCCATCCCCTTCCTTGTATTGGATGGTCCATATGAATAGTTTGAAAATGGGAAATACTATTTTGTCAGTTTGCAATTTCAGGACATTGCTAGCTATGCGAATGGGCTGTGATAAAGGCCTTACTCAAGACATTTCTCTTGGTTTTCTCTGAGTGACCCTTAGCTGTGGTCATTCTACCCAGCGAGTGGTCCAAATACAAGCAAACCCCTTGCTCTACCAGTAGATGTCAAGTCAAAGGCTGCCTGGTCTGTGGACCCCACTGAGGAATGGTGGGTGTGTGAGGTGGGGGTCCTGAAGGCAAGACCAGACCCCAGACTCTGTTCCCAGCTGCTCCCTCCACATGCTTTATGGCTTGGCTGCTTGAAACGAGCAGTTACTCCACAGGCCTTGTTTCTCCAAGCCTGCTTCCTTCGCCTAAAAATGGGAATAAGGTCTGCTTCCCTGCCCAGCTTATGGGCCAGCATCAGGTCCAGTGGAGGGGACATCTGGGCAAACAGGTCATGATTCCAATAGTAGCCTCTAGGTAACAATGGGCCAGGCCAAATCCTGCTTGACCATGGCCAGGCATTTACCCGCTCCCTTCCCAGGATCTTTGGGAATCCCTTTGTGGTCCTCAACAGGAGATCCTGCTCAGTCCAGGGACCCCTCAGCCAGTGACTGGCCCAGATTGAGGCTCCCTGCTTTCCTGTCGATCACCTCCTGGTATCTTGAGCGGGGTTCCCCTGTCTTGTGCAGAGTCCCTCATACTGCTTTGTTCCAAGTGCGGACACAGGTTCTCATCACCTTTTCTTCACCGTGGTTAAAACCAAGCAAAAAAAAAATGTATGAAACAAAGGAGACTTCAGTGGGGGATGTGGGTGGCATCCTACCAGAGGCCACAGGGCTCCCTCTCCTGGCCATCTCTCTCCTTAGGGCCCAGCTTGTGCCAAGTTGATGGGGCTTATTTTTTTTCCCATAAAGGGCCTCTAGGCCTCCCATGCTGCTGAGACCCCAGGGCAGGAGGGGAAAAAAAAAAATGTTTTCCTAAACACTGAACGTGGCTTTCAGAGATACCTCCCTCCCACCAGGAAGATCTGCCTCATTATTATGCAGATAATGTTTTTAAAAAAATGTTTTTAAAGTAAACTCTGTGACACACATAGGGCTTGAACTCATGACCCTGAGATCAAGGATTGCGTGCTCTGCTGAGTGAGCCAGCCTGGCGCCCCCTGGGCTCCTGAGTTTAGCTCCTTGCGGCCTTAACCCTCTTGATCCAGGATGGGGGCTTTGCTCTCTATCTATTCAAAGGACTCTTTGAAGCATTTCCCCCCACAAAAGACCAGTCCAAGAGCACTCAGAGCTCTTAAAAGAAGTTGTTTGCACCTTTTAAAGAGGCAGTTTTCTCTAGCGTACACACTTTCTGCCCATTGACATTGGGGGTTCGGCTTCTATAACATGTACACTGCTGGGCAAGTGAACCGTATGGGGTACTGGAGCGGTCATGGGCTCGGTGACAGAAGGGAGGGAGAGGGGAGGGAAGAAACTGCGATTTCCGGTGACATGCCCGTGTCCGTCCGGAGCTGTAACTCACCAGCAGTATTTCTATCTGCCTTCCTAGAGTCCCTCTGACCGAGGAGGTGCTTTTACCTTGGAGCCAGGTGATCTCCTGATGGACTTCACAGAAGCCACTCCTCTGGTAAACTTCCCATTTTGCTAAAACCAGAAAAGCCACAGATCATAGAAACATCTTGGCAGTGGGACGGATGGACAGAGGTGGGCATCGCCGTTGGGAAGGCTCTTCCTCTTGTCCTGCTCACGGCCTGGAGGCTCAGGGATCAGCCTTCTTTGGGAGTTCAGGCACATGGGTCCCTTTACCTCCCAGAGTCCTCCGGGGAGGCGGTGCTCCCTTTCCCCCAAGGGCGGCTGCAGGGGTCCCACCCCACCTGTCTGCTGCTTCCCAAGCGTGGAGGGCTCCTCGGGGCTTGGGTCTTGGCTTCCTGGCTTCCTGGGCTGCTCCCCGCATGCCCACCCGTGGGGCATCTTTTGCTGCCGCTTCCAACAATGTGCTCTGGTCTGAAGCACTGGCTCAAGGCCTCATCCCAGCTTTCCAGGCCCCTCGCGCCTCCCTGCCATCCTCCATCCTCTGCCTATAGGTGTCCCCTTAGGGATGGTGGTGGTCCTCGTGGGTGGTCCTCCCGCAGGTGGGAAACCCTTTCAGGAGAGAGAGAGCACTGGACCCCAGGAGTCATGCAAGGCAGACCTGGCTTCAGTCTCTGCTCCCCTCGTTAGGAGCCTTGTCATGGGATAAAAGATGCCATCGTTTGCCACATCTGCCTCAGAGTGGTCTAATCGCGTGACACAGAGAGAGCCCTTGAAGAATATTAAAGCACCATAAATGTGTGTGAGGTATTAGGAATAGTATTAGATGACACAGGCAGACTTGGATGTACCTTTGGCTGGGCTCAGCCTGACACCCAAGTGTACTTGAGCATAAATCATGGTCCACAAATGTGGAGCATGAGTCAAAATGTGAACCAAGTCACAAAGTACCTCCTGAGAGCTCAGTGCACACCTGGCCATGTGTGAGGCTGTGGGAGCGGGCAGGGCAGCTAGAGGCTGGAGGGGAGTCGGGTTGATAAAGGGCCAGGCTTGACAGCAGAGCTGTGTAGAAGATGCTCGGGGAGAAGCTACAAGTGGGAGTCATTCAGGACTGGCTCACTGGAGGGGCAGGTGGTGGATAGGAAGGGTTTCCAGAAGGCTTTTGAGAGGGGACAAATGAGGCAAAGTACTGTCTAGGCTTTAGGAATGATCATTGTCCCTGCTTCAGCTGGTACAAGGCGATTGTTTGGGATTTATACAGTTGTACTCATCTCGAGAGTTGGTACAGTCTGAGAGCTTCGAGTCAGCACGTTTGGATAAACAGCTGAGAACTGACAGTGGGTGAGACAGCCTCCTCCGGGAACCTTCAGAGTTACTCTCTTCCCATGTTGGAGAAAATGCAGTCAAGTTATTGATGGCCTGCTTGTTAGACAAATTGCCAAGATAGGCTAACCCAGAAACAGGGCCTTCTCTCATCCCCTCGTCATCCTTTTGCACAGATAAGGAAACTGAGTCCCAGAGTGAGGTAATCACACAGGGACCGAGCTGTTCCAAGCCCAAGTGTTCCAGCTTCTTCTCTGGTGCCCTTTACATCATCAGATTGGGCTGAATCTGGCATCTGGATTTCAGAAACTTGCCCCACTTTGGAGAAGAGCAATGCCTGGAAGGAGGGCTGGGTTTAAAGCTCTCCCCAGACTGAGAAAGCAGAACAAGGAGTGTGGAGGACGGGACAGCAAGTTAAGCAGCCTGGACCTGGCGCTACATCAGTATCCCAACTGAGTATCCCAGCTGAGGCCTTACACCCTAGGAGGGCCACGTGTGGGGGCTGGAAGCCAGGGCCGCAATCCGAGGACATCAGTAGCTGGAGGGCAGCAAACCCCAAAGGGACCTGAGAACCCCTAGGTTGCAACCTGAGGGCCTGTGAAGGCAGAAGGGGGAGAAAGCTAAGTTCCCAGGCCCACGCTGAAGAAAACATGCCGGACAGGAATAGAAGACAGTGGGGGAAGATCACTCTCTGAGTTAGGCTCTTGAGAAACTTCCAGACTGCTGAAGCATGCTGCCATTAATGCCATCCAAGAGTCTATAGAAACTGCTACTGTTGTGGGACCCAGTGTCTAACCCTATCTGGGGTCACTGAGAAAAAGAAGGCTTCATAGCGCTAGGGTTTTGAAGTATGAGTAGGAGTTTGCCAGATGGAGGAAATGGACCAAAGCATTCTATGCAGAGGGTACAGCATGAGCAAAATACTGAGTATTTATTAAAGGTTCTGGCAGATCTGAGAAACTCGGATTAGTTTGCCAAAAAAAATATTTCGTAGCTCTGACAGGAGTGATGGGATTCCCTTAAAAACCATTGTGTTGCAGATCCAGCTGGTAGATTTAATTGCCCCATCTTTATCTATTCTTTGAACTTAATGGTCTGAGATTAGAAAGGAAGCAGCATCTGCCAGGGACCCAGAGGTCCCCTGATCTGAAGTCTGCAGTGAATACGTGTTCTCAGGATGAAACATCCTTTGTCTTGCTTGTGTGGATTTGAGGTGTGAGTGCGTGCCCACAGCGCACGTTCACACAGAAGGTATGCTGGAGGGCTGGCATTGTGATGAGAGCACATTCCACTTGGGCCTTTCTTGGCATCACTGGCCTTACCCTTTCACTTGAGTCTTGTCTCCACCAGTGCCGAAGGGTCCTTGAGAGGAAGGGGGACTCCAGCAGCCTGCTTCTCCTGTCTGGTCCTCTCCCTCCATCTCCTCCATCTGCTCCTCCCAACATCGTAGAAACACAAGCAGCGGTCCTCTCTGTTCTTGTCGGGGAGAGGGTGGGGGTGTGGTGTCTCTGCCCCAGAGGACAGTGGAGGAGAGATTGGATTTAGGGTCTGGGGCTGGATGAGATTCCTAAAGCCACGGCACCACCCTGGTCCCTTGGGCCAGAGCTAGACGGACAGCAGAGAGGGTTGGGACCAGATTCTCTTGCCTTGATTCAACAGATGATCCACCAAGGCATTATCAGCGTTAGTATAACCCTTGTGACTCCAACCCTGATGATCCAGTCTCTGTGTAGAGCGGTTTTCAAAGCAGCATAGTCCAAACAACTGAGAAGAATAATGTCTCCGTCTTTAACTGGCATCTCTCAAAAAGCATTCAAGATTAAACTGTCACCTCCCTGGTAACACTTCTCAAATCCCATGTTGCTTCCTTCTTAATTCTCTTGCACCCTGCACGACTCCAAGGATTTTCATCCTCAAACTCTCCAAAAAACATTCTTTCCAGTGTCGCTCTTGCAACCCTTTTTCCTCCTCTTTCCATATCTTTTCTTCTCCCATCCCCAACTCTTTTAGTATGTAGCTCAATTTAGCAATAGAAGCCCTACAACCTGCACAGCTTGTGGCTTGCCCCGGGGCCAGAATCCGCAACACAGACCTGCCAATCAGACTGGAGTTTCTGGCCAGGGAAGAGGTGGGGCGTAAGGGTGGGGAGGGGAGAAGGCAAGCCAGTGACCACAGCACCCACTGTCCCTTTGGTATCCTCTTTTGGAAGGTGAGTCTGGGTTGTGCACGGGGTGTCGGTGTTAACAGAGTGGAAGGAGGGGACGTTGACCCATCAATCAAGTCCCGCGCTCCAGGTCTGTCGTGCCAGCTTCCCTCCCCAGGTGACACACACTGCAAACACCTAGGCCTTCTGTGTTCCTGAGGCTTTCTCTTTGGGGCTGGTCCCTCCCCGATCCGATCCCCGATCCCTGTACTGCATGAACCACTCACCCGGCTGCAGAGCAGAAGCACTTAGGACCCAGGTCTGTTCTGGGCCAGGAACTGTTAGTCTAGAGTTCATGTGCTAGGGAGGAGGCTGGCCTGGCCAGACTCAGGTCGTGCAGGGCAAAAACAGGCCCTGGCTTGGGTGTCAGAAGAACTGGTTTTCCATCTATCTCAATAACTTAGTTATTTTTGAACCTCATTCTATCAGGACGGCTGAAGCTTGATCCCAAGTGAAATCAGGGTGCCTCTTCCATCTTCCTGGGGATTCATTCATCTTCTCCAGGGCACAGGAAAATGGAGGGAAGTGTCTTTAGTTGGTGATGTCATCTGTTTGCAGATACCTCTGGGGCACTGCCTGCTTCCCTCATGCCCCTTTTGGGTGGGTGGAAGTCACTGTCCCGCCGGGATGAGAATCCCAATCTGTTGGACATACCACCCAGCCATTCTTTCTGCCCTGGGGCCTGCCACCTCCCCAGCTCTACCTGAGCAGAAGGACACTAGCCCCTCTCTGCTCTTTAATCCCTGTGCCTTAGCCTCAGCCGGGGAGGAGGGCCACGGGCCCCTCTGCTCAGTACTTCCTAATGTCTACCCCCTCCTCACTTTCCCTCTGATTTTCTCTCCAGCCCACAAACTGGTAACCTCTTTTCTTGTCTGGATGATGAAGAAGCCTTTCACATTTCCATCTTCGTTTGTCTATGCCAAAAATCTTTCTGTTCCCCAAGGAGTCAGATTTTTAAACCTCAAAAGCCAAGTAGCTTAGAAGAACCTAGCTGCCTGAATGTGAAAAAAAGCCAAGGAGGAGAGGAAATGCCGGGAGAAAAAAATGAAATGGTATTTCAGAATAGTATCCTATTACACGTGTTATCTTGTTTCCTGTGCATTTACTAACAGATGCATATTTAGAAGGGTCATACACGCTTGTGGGATGGATCAACATTTCTTTACCATAAAAGTCCAATGCTAGGCAAAGCCTTAAGTCATTCATCTTAACCTTCAACTAAGACACAAGTAGCTGGTAACACATTTTGGCATCTAGGCAGTATGTCCGTGTTTGTCGGTCATTCACGCCAGCTTTTATTTTCTTCAAAAAGCACACAGGAGTGCCCGCTTATCTGCAGAGGCTAAGGCTGCATGGCCTGGGGTCCCTGGGTTCTGGCTGGGGCAGTGTTGAGAAGTGAGGTGCAGGGGTGAGACAGGCTGGAGCCCACTTCAGTCAGGTCTCGAATGCCATCTCGTGGAGGGTAGGATTCACCCTGAGGTCAGGAGAGAGCAGTGGAGGGAGTCTCAGTAGGTGGTTAATACGGACTCACCTGTTTCTGAGGAATGGATGCAGAACCAATCGACATGAGGAACCACGGATTTAGACTTTGCAGAGGCCATTTTTCAGCATCTCCAAATCAGAGTAGGAAAGCAAGGTGGTCGCCAAGACTCTTGGAGGTTCTGATTGTAAAAGCCCTTTGGAAACGGTCCAGGACTGCACAATTGTAAAGAGGTCGGCATCAGATCAATTTGGAGACAGAAAAGGCGCCTGCAATGTTCTTGATCGAGTTGTAAAAACTTCCCCAGAGGCTGTACTTCCTTCGTTATGGCAGGATGTTACCAACTACTTAAGGAAGCTCTCCTGAACTAAAAAAGATGCGTGTATTTACCGTCTGGAGTGAATGGTCTCTCCTGGCAACCCACACTAACCCTGTCAGTGGCCCCCTCTCCTAGCCTCAGGGCCTTCTGTCTTCACCATCCTCATCCTCACCAGTACAAGCTGCCAGAACTCTGCTGGTGCATGGCACTCTTTAGGGCTGCGGTGGGGAACCCAATACCCCGAGCGATATGGCAATTTCTCACAATGCTTGATATCTTCCAGCTAAAGCAACAGGGTACCTCGGCGGCGACCCGAGGTGTCATGGCCTGGGCCAGGGGGTTGGGGGCGGGGGGGTGGGGGGCGGAGCCAGTATGTTTTCTGAACACAGATAACAAAAAGCCCTGGCAGATTAAATCTGAAAGTCCATGTTCCTCCTTGCTGAGGTATGTCTTTTCTGTTAGACATCAGCTGACGGATACACCCTGATGGGGGGGACCCTTATTTAGCAGAGTGCAGGAGGCCACCAGGCGTGGAAGGCCAGCACGCTCAAGGGTGTGGCCACTCCTCATATCGCCCCCATGGCCGGCGTCACTCATTCATCACGGCTCTCTTTCTGGCGTGGCCTGGGCAAGGCTTCAGGAAGCTGCTACCTGGCCCGCGCAGTCGGCCCAGGAGATGGCCCCTGCCTGCCAACCCCGGGAATGGGGTTTCCACGGGTTGTTCTGCTCAGATAGTGAAGAAGACAGATGAGAGCCGGAGAGGAGGAGAGAAGGTGGGGAGAGGAGGGGGAAGGGGGGCCTAGAAGCCAGCTGCCCAGAGGCTAGAAGCAGGCTCGGGCGAGGCTGGCTCCAGAGCAGTCTGGAGTTGACAGATCCTTCTTGCACTGTGCTATCTTTCTCTCTTCCCCTCCCTTCTCTCCTCTGCCTCCTCCCCCTCTCTCCTCTGCCTCCTCCCCTTCTCTCCTCTCCTCGTGAGCAGGCAGAGCCCGCCAGCGCCCCCCACTGTGCCCACTCTCGCTGTTCTCCTCCACTCTCTCCCCCCATGAAGGAAGAGACCACTGGAGTTTGCATGCATCCTCCAATCAAAACGAGGCTGGTAGGTACCCTGGCAGGGAGAGGGGCCTGGCCAGGAGAGGTGAGGCGGGCAGGAGCCACCAGGCGGTCACACCCCGCTGGTGCGCAGGAGCACTAGACCTTCTGGAAAGGCCTGGCTGATAGGTGCTCTGACTCCAGGATGGTTACATAGTTTGGCCAAATGAGGACACACCGTCTGCTGTCCTGCCCTGTGTCTCTAGGTCTCAGGAACCAGGAAGAGTTTGTTTTCCTAAAGCTTTGATGAGCATAGATGCTTTTCCCAGACAGTAAAAAACAAAAAAACAAAACAAAACAAAAAATCTTAGTTGCATTTCTATTGAAAATAACAACTGTTTTCCCTTGTCTTTTCCTGCTATGTTTCAAGATAACAGGATGTGTGTTACACAACAGCCTGAAAAGAATCACCCATAATCCCAACCTAGCACAATGTTTTTTCATTTTTGCGTGTTTCCTTCTAATACTTATTTGTATTCATTCATAATTTTACGAAGTGAAATCATAGTATCCATATCGTCTCCTGTTTTTCCCTTTTCACTTAGTGTTGGATTGTTTCTCTCTTGTTCTTGTGACCGCATTGCATATGACTGTTTACCCCCCATCCAGTGCGTGGTCTCCCATTTACCTAACACATTCTTCCGGCAGGACGTGGGCTTGGTTCCCAGTGTGTCACTGTTCGAGGGGACACAGATAGCTTTGGTGGCAGGTATTTTATTTTCTTAGGCTAGACCCTGCTGGGTTCAATATTGTGACTTTTGCCTTGCTCCCTCTCTAAAGTGGTTATACCAGGGGACAGCACAGCGGAAGAGTGAATGTGCTTTGTCACAGCCGAGCAGCACAGAGTGTAACTGTTGGGAGAGATTTTTGTCTTATTTAGAGAAGATACAGGATCATTCGTGGAAGCTGCCAGTGTTCACATTTCTTTAATAGCAATAATAAACCTCTTTTCCCTTTTACTTCACGATGGTCTGAGAGTCTTACCTGAATGTGACTTTTCACTTTGCTCTTGGTGTCGGCCCACATGCTGAACCACCAGGCCGTGGGAGGAGAAGGCACCGTGGGCTTCCCCTGGGTCCTCTCGCTCTGTGGCCGGCACTGCTCCCAGCGCTCAGCGATCTGAGCTGGCACCTGAGTCTTAAGGCAGTTGGGGGCCCATTCTGGGAATTCTGAGATGTTTAAAGGGGCCAAAGGGAGTTTGGGGAAGGGGAGCAGGTGTGGACTGGGCATCTCTGTGCACATTGCAGAGACACGGTCATTCTCAGGTTGGTTGAGAACTACTCCACCCATTCAGAAAAGCCTCAGCGGATCTGGGTCTGTTCTGATGTGCTCTTGCTCACCCCTACCTTAACCTCCATGGGAGTGACTCAAGAGCATCAAATAACTACCCCAGGGTCCACAGACAAGCCCCTGGGAGAGACAGGAGCCGCGGTCTGGGCAGCGGTGGCCTCCGTGTCCAGGCTGCCGCCCTCTGGTGGCAGAGCGTGCATTCCCCGGGCGGGCAGTTTCCGTGCCCTGGGTGGGGCGGGGGGGG